CACCAGCACACGCCATCAGTATGGCAAGAACTGCTGCAGAATAAAGTCTTGATGAAAACCTTATGGTCCGGCCGACCATGAGCGAGAAGCACGTCTGACCATCTGGGAAAAATCCATTCTGGGACGGCAAAAGCAGAACCTTCCTTAGTCGGTCACTAGTGGAGATGAGTCATGAGTCCACTGCGACAACATCCCATGGCACGTCTGTTGGCTACCTCGCAGCAAGGAAGCACCAGCTCAACCAAAGCCCGAACTCCGTTTTCTGAGAATATCGCTCACGTTTTGTTGGATTCGCTAGGTGGCCTGGTTTGGGAACCACTTCAATGTATGAAGACAAGCATTGCTAAAGTCAGCGCGGAATAGCCCTCTGGCTGGCTTGGGGTTGCGAGAGAATCGTCAGAAACGTCTCAGATCCTCCTTCCTCCGAATGTACGCCAGACCTCACATTGCAATGCCAACTCACCACGTTCTGAGGAAAGGAGGAGGCGGAAGGGGTGGGTAGGTAGGAATGGAGCCGGATGAGGGCGATCCGTTCAAGGACGATCAGCCAGGCGTCACCGATCCCGCATCCACTCACTACTCGCATGGCATCGCTCCTGATCGGACTATCGCCTCACCTCCTGCCCGCCCTGAATAAGCATCTGCCAGAGAAGAAAGTTAAAGATTGCGACCACCCCAAAAACGACTTCTCCAAATTCTTCAACCCCCAGCTTCCTTCATTCCGGGCTGGAAGCTTCCAAACGCTCACTAGCAAATGCACGCATATCAGTGACCATGATGGTGGTTATGTCATTGATCAGTTGTTTCCTAGAAGAGATAAAACTTGATAAACAAAAGTGTCGAAATTGCGACAAGAATTATGAGACAACCAATATAAATCAGTATAGTTAGTAAGGGCCTACACAAAGAATGACCGATCCTGTAAGTAAAAGATAGAGAGAGAATCTGCGGAAGTCAAGATTTTCCAATACCTATCTAAAAAAAAGATGTAAAATAAGCGACTGGACCAAGACGAGCACCACAGGTAGTAAACGAGCAGCTATTTTTATCTCATGTGGGTTAATCCCAAACAATTGTCTAGATTTTTCCTGGAATTTAGTTGCCGTACAGTCCGTCCTTCTGATACATTTTCCATTGTCACGAACATAGCCGCCGACACATTGGCAGGCGGGCGGGAAGCAGAGAGGAACGCAAGGCTGGAAAGTATTTTATACCTTTGTGTTTACTCAAGATAATCCCAATAAACATTAGAGGAAACGCAAGCGAAGTGTCGAAAGTAATACGTAAATGCGCGGTTTCCCCGAAAAACCTTGGCGGTAGCGCTAAGATCATTTTTGAGGAGGGGAGGGGGAGAGCGAAGTGCAATACACAAAGTGTCTCGGTTAGGCGGTTACCTCTAACTTGTTTCTTAGGTCGAGTCTATGCCCTAACAATAACCCGATTCAAAGCGTAGGCTCGAGCTTAATGAGCCCAAGTCTGGCCCAATTCTAGGCTGTGACCGCAGCACAGCACTGATGACCACAGCGGCGAAAAGCTTATGGTTAGCCTTACTCGTGCGCGGCTAACAAGCCATTCCCCATGCAAGGAGATATTCAAGAGGTATCCTCACCTGGTTACACAGGGATTTCGGATTGACCTGAGGTGGGCAGTCAGCCATTGTCAGTTTTCCTGTGACCCCGGTCGACTATGGACGAACATCATAACATGACAAATGGGCGCTTTTTTAGTGAAGTAGAATCTTGACGGGTTCTAGTTTGGAACGACTTTTTGTGCTCTTCGTGTAGCCGCGGCGACTGTTCACTGAACCTTCTTCATCTTCTGATTACCAGAAATCTTTCATGCAGAAAAACTGATCATGGCCGAGGTCGTTGCTGCTGCAACGGCCTAATGTCGCCCGTAAACATATGAACCTGCATATCCCTTAAACTGGTGTCAACAGTATTCTGATCAACCGTGTAGAGAGTATATTTTCGAGTCTTCGAGGAGACCACATTTCTGATGGTGGATCATCGTATCCGATGAATCATAGAAGTAGGGTCCTTAAACGCGCAAATCACCCCAGGTGGGCAAATTCTCCACTTGGGCAACAGCAATAAACGATCTATTTGACCGTGCTCTTGAGCAAGCGTCTGGGTTGCTGACACGCTAGCGACGACGCATACCAATAATAACCGTTGAGGTTTTTTTCCCAGTAAGAAAACGTTAAGATTTCAATATTCGAATCTGCGTTTTTGGAAATTCATGAAATACATTATAGCTCATCCCATTACTAAAAAACGCTTCAACTATAGCAATTTTCGTACGCAAGAAGTGGACATGGAACACCTCTGAGTGTCTCAGAAATGGGTTACTACGGCGAAGGGCAATGGGTGAACCCTCCAAAGGAGATCAACCGAAGAGTTCGTTATCAAACTTATGAAAGTTAGTTCTTCAACGACATTCTGAGAGTAGGGCGAAGGATTACAGTGGTATGTGACGCAGCATTCCGATCGCACGGTCCGCGGTCAAGGCTTGTACAGAATCTTGCCCGATCCATTAAAGCGTTCCAATCCTTGGGATCGGTTAATTGGCCCGAATTCATCAGGGAATGTGAAAAAACTAGCATGCAGGCTGGCCTGCGCAAATTGTTGTGTAACATCTCACACCAAATGACTCTATGATGGTGAATAGTAGGGAATTTGTAGAGCATCCCAAAAGGGTTGATGCCAAAAACCTCTCAATACGTCAAGAACGTCTTTCAGCAGAACAGAACATACCACGATAGGACCACATGTTGGCTCACATGACGCACATTGTCGAAATTCCTCATTAGCGCCACATGCTGAAAATCATTTGATCTAAGGACATATTTCATATGTAGCGTGTTTTGCATTTAAAAGCACATCTACAACAAACTTCCTGAAAAATTCCCTCACTAAGTAAGCTAGATAGCTCAAAATCGCAATGCCAAATCGTGCATTGAAGATACACTGGCAGGGCGCTATGGGATAGTGCTGCGCCTGTGATCACCCAATGCCTCGTGGCCTCACCTTGGAAATGACATCATGGATGGATGGGTTCGAGAGATATCAGTCAGGAGGCCGCGCCGACAAGGCCAGAGAACGTAGACTGCATCACGGACAATTATCCCAGCGCGTCCTCGGGCGCTGTAGCTGTATACTATTGTCATTCATCTCGACCTAAAATCGCTACAGTACGCGCTGCAACTCGTCCTGACCCGTCTACTGCCTCCTCGCCGCGCGACGGGCCTCCTGTCGAGTACCCTCTCGTATTGGTAAACATTTCCTCGGGGCGAGCTCGTACCTCCAGAAATAACAGCAAAGAAAAACGGTCACAAGCGATCATCCAAAAGCTTGGATGTGTTCCCTGCTTTCCATAAGCGGAACTTTTTGCACTAGTAGTTTTGTATTTGACCACACTACCTTAACCACATTACCAAGTCGAGGAAGGCATTTTCATTCCAACTTGTGTGCTAAAAACTCCCTAGTGTTGAAGCACCCAAGAGTGTCGCCGTATTCGATACACTCACCACTGGCACAGAATGCGGCTGCACACGGGCCTGTGAGAACCTAATATTTTGCCATCGTATGTTTCTTTTTTATTAAGGAATCATTCACGGACACGAGACCAGTGGGAGGACCCGGGCAGTTTTTTTAGACGAAATTGCAGCGATTCAGGTCCGGATCCACGCTGTCGAACGCCTACGAACGTGCACACTAGGATGCACCTTTCCAATACCTCCAGTGAACGTGCGACTCCCGTACCTTTCCCCATGCTTTCCCTGTCGCCAACAACCACTCTCCCCTGGTCCCGCCCACCTTCATCCAGGCCTCCCCGGGGAAGTTCCGTTCAATATTTGAAACAGCTAAGCTACTAAAAGCAGGCGAACCGAAAACAATTGACAGCTGACGAGGGTCATAGTAGTCCAGGTTTTTTCTTTCCGACATTGACTTTCCCTTTGTTTTTACCGATTCCTAATCTATCATATTTAACACATCACTTATGTAGGCGATGATTTCCTACATTATCACACCCAATTCTTCGAAAGTCTGTGATGGTTCAAGTTCCTGCCTGTAAATTCGTTTTAATTTCTTTTTAATAACAATAAATCTAACAAAAGTCTTTTTGACAGGTTGTTGTCATGGTGCGTTACTGGAGGATTTTAGCGCGACAAGTTTCATTCGTGGGCTGACGCTTCAACTGTTAATCGCGTTATCTTTCAGTGAGGGCCGATCAGTCCATCATGAGCGGAAAGTCCATGCCACACGTTAGTGCGTGTTCAGTTTGTAAAACATACAGCAACAACAAAGCAGCCTTTATTCCCGCTCCAAATTTGATGGAACCGTTGGCTTCGGGTCGACGATTCATTAGAAATGTCAGGCCCTAACGATCCCGTAAAGCACGAGAAACTAACAAACTTACAATTAACATGCCCAGGTTACAAGAAGAGGAAAGTTGGAGAGGTCTTTAGTCAAACATGAATAAAGAATCCACCGTTATCTCCTAGCTCTACCATTACAGTATTCCTCGTAATTCCAATACTCCCACGAGCTATGAGGGTTGAGGTTGAGGTACTGTAACCATTATGAAAACCTTCATCAAACATACCTGGAATCTTCAGGCACTGAGGTCTTCCGTCGATGTCTTCACAATAAGTTCCCTCTGCGCAAAGCGTTGAGGCGCAAGTCACTGATGTGGGCCTTGGTGATGTGGCTAACCCAGTATTTCCTGGAAATGTATAATTAGTCAAACGAGTCCACATTACATGTAGGCGGTGTCACCGCGATTGTGCCCCCGACTGATAGGTCTTCTAGATCAGGGTCAACCGTGACGTTCGCAAATTTTCAGAAATTTCGCGACCCCCTCCTTTAGGGGGTCTCGATGCGACCCCCACCACCACCATGAGACTCAGGAGGCTCCCAATACGACACCCTTCTCCTACCCCGACCACCACCCTCGCCATCATGGCTGTTTCTATAGTATTTGATTCTGAGACCAGTCGACACAGCCCAACCCCGCCCACTTTCCCTCCAAAACGGCGGGCTCATACATATTGATGCAATATGTTGGCGAATCTTCTCCCACCACCTTCCTACCTCCCAATTACATCCACCAAATCTCTAAAAAACAATCTTAATCGCCTCGCCATTCACTCAACAAATTCACTCCACCCCTGAATGCGACTCCTCTTCCCAAAATCAACCACTAATGCGAGCCCTTCCTTAAAATAGTGCCAACGCACGGTTGACCCTGTTCTAGATTCAGCACTAATAGAGATGGCATAATGCTCCCGGAGACGCCGCCCACACTTGATTG